ATCTATATCTATATAAATTTTATAAAATGTATAACTTAAGTTACAACTGTTAAAAATCATAAGCTTTAATCTTTTTAAAAAGCAAAGAACAAAATATATTCCTACTAGATCTAAATCTAGATTCTAGAATAAGATCTACAAGTTTCATATCAATGTAATTTTTTTTTAATCTAGGCTTACCTGTCAGTGTTTTAATTTAATCTCAGCCTGAGTAGAGAATAGTAGAGATCCTAGATCTAGATCTCTAGTTCAGTGTTTCTTCCAGACTTTTTTCTCCGGGGGGCACTTGAAATTTTCGGAGGGGGGGGGGGGCGGTAAACTTTCTTCGGGGGGGGGGGGGGGCGGACACTGTTAAAAAAATATATTTTCTATATAAATTATATAAATTTCATTCCGTTCGGGGGGGGGGGGGGGGCGGTAAAAGAGATACCTGGAAGAAACTCTGCTCTAGTTCCCATTTAATGAATTGGGTACTGATTATAATTATATCTAGATCTATTCAATATTCACTTAGTATTGCTCTACCATCTAGCAATATCCTAGATCTATATTGGGCCATAGGTCTAGACTTTGCTGAGAATTTCCATTCAAAATATTAACCTGGCAATGACTTGCAGTACGGATTGTCAAAAATAGCAGACGACATTCATGACACGACAAATAAATAATTCCATAACAAAACGCAGGTTGACCATGTTTAACGTAATTTTATTTTTCCACCAATTCGTGGAGATGGAAAAACCAAAACACTTGTAACATCTTGGCTCATTATGGTTTAGATCAAGAATCTAATTCGTTTCTAGATCTAGAATGCATTACAAGTTAAGTATGCATTGTTACACTTCCAAGTAATATAAATAAACTAGCCGTCCCGGCCAGGCCCTGCTCTGGCTTCTGTGAAAACCCTTCCTGTTAAAGACCATTACCTGTGTGTTTAGTAATCATCATAAACCCGGCATTGCCCACCCAAACCACAACCAACCAAAACAACAAAACGCAAACATAACGCTAACACAATTACAAATACAAACGAAAACATAAACCTAACAACAAACACAACCACAACCACAAACACCAATACAAACACAAAGAAAAAACAAACAAAAAAGCAAACGAAAACAAAAACCTAACAACAAACCCAACCACAAACACCAATATCAACACACAAAAAAAACGAAAACAAACCAAATCCAAACGCAAAACCAACCAAAAACACAAATACAAACCCAAAGAAAAAAACACAAACAAAAACGAAAAAAGAAAGAACAAACACGAACCAAATCAAACTGCAACCACTAACGCAAACCCATCCAAAACACAAAGAAAATACTAACGCGAACATAAACGCAAAGTGCTCACAGTCTAGCCCGGGGTGGAATCGCCTGTTTTAGCTTAATAAACGACTATAGTACCCCAACTTATTCATAGTCTTTTGCACTCACTTAAACGAACGCGCCTGTTTCAATTTAATGAACAATTATAATACTCCAAGCTTATCCGTAAAATACCTACAACGTTTGCACTTGATCAATCCCCGCTAATTATGTAATTATTTTTTTTTCCCAACATCAAATCAAAGTAATAGAAAGTAAATTCTTTTCCACTAATGCAATGGTTTTATAAAGGGAAGTAATTGTGCTTTCCTAATGTATCAAAGGGAAGTAAGTGCTATAGGACTAAATAAAGACATAATTAGAATTTTTGTAAAAGATGATATTTTTTAAAACTTGTGTTTAATGAACATGCCGAAAATTATTACTTTCATTTTGATAAATGAAAACTATTTCCCAAAACTTTCAATATTAATTTGTTAACTCATAAATATAGACCATAAGGACTTTAATAATCTAACACTTAAATCCATCGAAGTATCTACGACAAACATATATGTTACATGCAGAGTTGAGCTTTATATATTAGAAGATGTATGATGTAGGGGAAGCAACTAAGATAATTTAAGTTGTTTTTATTCTTATTATTTCCCTTGGACTGTAGATATGTTTCTAGAATCGAAGACGTTTTTATTTAATCAAATCATGTTCAGGGTTGTTTACCGATTTGTTGTACTGTTTTATATGGATTGGGCCAGTCTTTGAATAACGACACACTATTTTAGATTATTTTATGCCACAGCAGCCTCATGTCACATGTCTTCACAAAATGTCAGACCTTACACCTTCCCCTCCCTTCACTATAACGTCCCTTTCATCGTATTCCGCAAAATAAAATAAATAAAGATAAAGCTAACCTAAACTAACACGTTTTTCAAGTATTCAAAATAAATGTTGCGCCACGTATCGTAACACCACTCCCCCATCTCCCACTCCATTTCCACCGTGAATGTTGTAACCAAATACAAGAGAAATCATAGTAAGATTATAGAAATTCATATGCTCGTTATTTACAACAATAACAAATAATAATACTCATGACAGATACAGATATGTATGACAACTTACATAATAATTTTGCTGTATAAAGCTCTACTCTTTAGTTATCCAAATCATTAAAGACACAACACGAGTAGAATTAGGAAATTCTTTATTTGCTGAAACTGTAAACTTAACATTACATCGTGCTTGTGCAATACCGATCCCAGGTCAAGCAGACTACACGTCTTTATGATTCTAGGTGTATCGATACCAACAGCGTACACTTTAAAACTATTGGATGTTAGTCCCTTTTTTCCCTTACTTATAACTGCATAATCAAATAGCAGTAATTAATCTTTAACCCCTTAATTTTACTAAACTAGACTCAATATTAAAATACTAACACTATAATAATAAATTCGGTTCATTAGCTCAATGCAGTAAGGCTATACTAATATCTCAAATCTGGTTGGTAAGCTAATGTTTCGCTACGATGTAAAACAAAATTAAAGTTCATTTTGAAATACAGAGCCTGGTGGTCCATTGGGAAGATGAACTTCGCCTGTTACCATGACCCAGTAGCGTAGCGTGGGGGGAGGGGGGAACATATGTCCCCTGGCGCCGACCTCAGGGGGCGCTAAAATGGGTCCAAAATAAAAATGAAACTTTCATTGAAAGCTTGAGGGGGGTGCAAATCGAAAGTTTGAGGGGGTGCAAATCGAAAGTTTGTCCCCAGGCGCCGGGAATGGTAGCTACGCCTCTGCCATGACCTCTGCATATGAATGGAAGGTGTGGTCAGCACTGTGCTCAGCCACTTTTCCTTTCCTAAGTCAGATACTGTACCCATCAGAGCTTGGTGGATTACTGACTAAAGCATGGAATCCAAATAAGTTTACAGTCATAAGCTATTTCTTCAACCACGCCATCCCACTCTTCTCAGAAAGGTAGAAATAATATAGACATATTTAGCCTAAACATTCCTTTAAACTCTTTAGAACTATGTAAGATGTATATGAATATTTTATCTTTATACAATTTATTATTCAAATCACAACTGTTTCCTTAAAATGATATATTCCAAGCCTTCAATGTAATACACATTTTGCAGCATTTTTATTTAGATTTTTTTAAACTAATTCTTATAAAAATACAAAATGAAGTTTTCATTTGCTGTATTGTTTTATTACAGTCAACATAATTAAAACAAAACAATGTTAATCAAACAACAGAGTGGTTAATATTGGTTGGTTTTTTAACACACGTCTTTTTTATATGCTTTCCTTGTTAGTCAGCATATTAAAAAATATGCACTACAGCTTAGCATCTGAAATTTTAGTTTCATTCTTTAGAAATCGTCAAAAAGGATAATATACATCTGAAATATTTGTATGAGAATAATAAAATGGGACTAATGTTTAACAACTGTATAAATATACATTTTATAGAATACATCACATCTTCTTTTTCCGGTAGGGATGGCCAAGCTGCGTGGTGTCTCATATGGTCCCCATGAAGAGAATTATATATATAGATAGATTAACATATGTGCTATCATTTTAAATTTTTAATTGCATCTTTTTAGCATCTTCCTAGTCACACCTCTTCTCCCCACCATCACATACACACAGTTTTATTGTTACAAATGTACCAATTTAAAAAATAACAACTATAACAAATAATACTAGAAATCATTTTGATCATTTATAAAACTTCTTTTAAAAATACACACATTCCAAACAACTAATTTAAAAATCAGGTATATGAGATCTCATCATTCTATACATCATGCATGTTTTCATTATTCAAATAAATTTACATCATGGTAAAAATTCACTCCTAGCATGTAAATTGTTGTAAATCAATGTAAAAATTGTGAGCACATGTTAAAATTATGTGGTAAATTTAACACAATGTAAACAATTGTAGCTGCAGCAGAGTTCAGCATGTTTTAGTGGTCATTTTTGTTGTATATGTTATACAAAAATACATACATTAAATAATCTACAAATACACAGGGCAGGAATTTAACCACTGTATAAACATGAGAAATTTAGTTAGATAATTAGACATAAAGTAGTTCTAACAGAAAAAATATATAATCAAAATGAAGGTAGAAAAACTAAAATTAAAAACTGTCAAATCCTTATTTTTTTACAATTGTTTATAAATAAATGTGTGAGTCATTAAAAAATATGTGATAGGGAGAAAAAAACAATTGGCTAAGCTTTAAATATTGAGGGCTTATATTTGTGTTTACAATAGGAACTAAATGCAATTTACAGGTTTATTTTATTTTAATACTGATTTTATATTTGTCATATATTTTTTTTAATGAAAAATATAATTTCTTAAGTAGTTGATTGAATAATTCAATAGATAAAAAAATTGAAATTATTAAGTGTTGATTATAAAATGTGTTCATCTCTTCAGGTATTATTTCAACAAAATGTATAACATATAACAAGAGAGAGTTACTTTATTTACATTAAAAAATGTAGTTGTAGTGGTAGGTTCTTCAACATTTTTCTTAAATAAAAACATTTGTCACAAGTATTTTTAAAAAAATGATATTACCTGAAATTTGTTTTTATTTAAATAACAATATGTAACACATGCTCCTATAAAAAAATTATGCAGCCACAAACAGACAGTATGGTAAAAAGTGGGTAGAGGGTTTTGTGCAATAAATTTGTTTGAGTATATAATTTGCATCTTTGTGACATTTACTTTTTTAAGAGTATGAAATTTTTGTACGGTTTGTTGTAAATGTACATTGTATTGTAGATAAATAACTTGCTAAATAAAATCACCAGTAAAATGAGTTAAATATTTACAATTATTTTTCAGTTTAATAATGTATCATACGATTAATAAATTATGATTAGAAAATAGAGTAAAAATATACACCAAATTCTTCACTGTTGATAGATCTGCACGAAAGACATGTCCTCAATGAAAAAGTAATGTTCCATTTCAAACCTGATGGTCAATGGGCAGGTGAAGTAGAGCCCACCTGTTTCTGTGACCTTGGCATATGAAGGGATAGTGTAGTCAGCTCTGTGCCCAGCTGCCTTTACTTTCACTAACATGAGTCAGGTACCCATTAGAGCTAGGTGGGCTTAGTGACATTTACAGATTCGAACCAGAATTCGAACTTTAAACTTTCGGGTTTGCAGTCGTATGCTCTACCATTCGACAACACTGTCCCACTGTCCAAATGTTGCTCTACTTTAATCCTCTCCAACCTAAGTGGACATCATACCTGAGACATGGTTAGGTAGTCGCTGTTGACACATTCGTCATCTGTGTCTAACATTTCATAAATAAATGTCCCGCATGACCTCGCCTTGAAATGTCTACACAGGAAAAATCCACCGCAACAAACCATCTGCAAAAATTTTTTAAATTATTTTCATTTTAAATTTCAAAACAAGTTCTTGTGATGAACAAAAACTTAACAAGAAGGGTTATTTAAGGATCAATTTAAAACAGCAGGTGAAGTTGTCAGGAGTTATAGTCAGAGGCCTTTGTTCTAAGACACTACAAGACACTTACATGACTGACAAGTTACTCACCACAAAAAAAATAAATACCACTAATTAGCGTAGCACCGTAACGAAAGCCCATTTCCTCAATCAGAACACCACCAAGCATGGGACCAATGAAAGAACTGTAACATAAATACGTTTTTTTTATCTCCCTTATTTTATGTGCTGCACTTAGATTTTGCTCGGCTAATTTATCGTTTTATTAATATATACAGCAAACTGTGAGTCTAGACTTACCCAAGGCAAAAGATTGAATTAAACAAACCAACAACAACACCATATGTGTCAATATTGTTTTCAAAACCAACTTCCCTGTGGATACAAGTTTAAGCAACAGTTAATTCCCTTACATATTTTTTTTTGCAATTTCAAGAATTCTGAGTGTAACAGGTCTATGGTAGAATAAGGTATTATTTTAATAACTATCCTCTTAAAACACTTTTAAATCATTTTTTTTAAATTATTTATGATAGCTTAATTTCAGGTTAGTAAATATTTCATATTTTAGAATTGAACATGAAATTTAATGGTAAGTTATCCCCCATTTGATAAAATTAAAAGATGTCATTTTCCATTAATCAAAAATGTTTTAATATTGAAACTATGTAACATGAACTAAAGTTAAAATTCTAAGATAAAACTCTAAATCATAAGCAATTTAAGTGGCTGCAGGCAATTCAGAAATAAGTTATTTCTCTAGACAAAAATAATTTAGCAATAAACATTAACAAAGAAAGTACTCAATGACTTACACTGCACCAATCAGCAAACAGTTCAGTGCAGGAACAATAGCCAAGGCATAGAACATTCCTAATATTACAAGGCCTATGATAATTACCCACAATTCACTGTAAAGAGAAGTTGTATTTTTATTATCAAACATGTCTAATACTTGCAAAGTATTAAAATTAACATTGTTGAATTGACTTGAATATCATTGTTCGCCTATTATATGAATTGTTTCTATATACATATCTCATTTGGTGACTTGCTAGTTATATTACCAGTCAAAGTTAATTATAATCTATAATGAATTGATTACCTGAGCTGACTTAAATATCAATTATCATGGTCTGCCTAATTACATTTTATATTTGGTGACTTATTAATTATATTACAAGTCAAAGTTAATTATAACCTCTATGAGAATGTTTTGATTTAGTTTTCATTTATCTTCATATAATATTGAATTATTTTTATCAAGGAGGTAGTATTGTACTTAACCCAATCCAAAACATTCAAATTCACTAAATTTAACCTTAAAGTACCACGTAAAATAAGTTGTGACGATACAGTGATATCTTTTAACTAGGCTTTAGATTTCAATGCACAACTAGATCTACATGACTAATGTAAAGTGATGACTCACCTAGGTAGAAAGGGGAGGTAAGGGCTGGGTCCAACAATAATGAGACCAATCCCACACATCAAGTTGCCCAGTGTGATCAATGAACCATTGATATTCTGGAAATAAAAAATTGTATCATGGAACCACAAAACAAATTAAACTGATGTTGCAAAATTGAACTTTTTAAAAAAAAATCTACTTTTTTAATTTAGTCGTCTGAGTATACATTTTTTCTGTCACCTGGGGTGGGTGTAAGGATTTGGAGGTTGTTTATTGTTCCATGTTACAGGTTTCATTAATTACACATGTCAAATTATTTTGCCAGCCATAATTTTCATAAAATTTGCCTTCCTTCTCTCACTTTCCCCTTCATCAACCCCCCCCCCCACCCCCACCCTGCCCATTTTAAATACAAGTACCCATTCGAGTTGGGTAAAATCAGTTATACCATAGAACTGATGTGAAATAAAATTACTGTGCTTACATTTAATTAGGTATAGTAGGCCCATAATAGCAAAGTAAATTGGATAAGAGTGCAAGACTAACATTATTTTTATATGTGGTTTTCAAAACTGGAAGTGTCAAAACCTAAATAAACTTTCCATGTAACCTACTAAAAGCTTTTTTTAGTAAAAATAATTCACAAACTGTCTTTATAGTCAAAGTCCCACACAAAACAGATACATACCTTGGAATCACTGATGTATCCCCATATTGGCGAGGTAATTGCATACAGACATGGAGTTATAAAAAATATTAGCCCAATAATACCTGTTGATAAATTAAACTGTAATAGAAGAAAAAAGAATGTCAATGCTTAAATTGTTTAATTTCTCTGGGGTTTTTTTTTTTCACGAAGTTCTTATTATTTTATTCTATTAAGCAGAAAGATATAAATAATAAATTAAAGTGCTAAAGATCTTAAAGAGAAATTATATAGTCATGCAACACAGGGACAATCCTGTCCAAGGTCAGCAAAAACAAAAATAGAACATGAGCCCCAGTAGTGATAATTGTGATATGTGTCACAATTACATGATGAATATCTGTATACTATATATGCCAACTAATACTAAAAAAATGTTTAAAAATGTATTACCCTTTTTTAGCCTCAGGAAAACCATTGTAAAAGAACAGTAATGATTTTTTATTACCATTTTGATCCTGGTTATCTGACCATTTATGGTAATGACTAGTCAGATTAAAATATTTAAAATAATTAAATTACCTGCTCCAAGTGTTTGGCCAGTGTGGGGTCAAGGAAAAGAATGCCCAGAGAACACATCATGATGCTCTGCCCAGTGAACCAGACCATTGGACTCTTTAACAAGGACAGGAAACTTGTTTTTCTTTCTTTCTCCAGTTCTGGAAGAGAGTCACAATGTAAAGCTTCAACAGGTCTTGATGTTAAGAACAGAACATCACAATCATAAATGTTGTAGTTTTTTTTATGTAATACAATAATTAAATATAAATGTGATAAAGGTTGAAAGACAATGTTATCAGAGGTGTTATGGCTGAGAATCGGTTTTTTTTTTAAAGAAGTGCTCATATCAAAAGACATGCATTGCTTCTGTACAACACTTACAAGTACCTTATTATCAGACTTACAATACCCAATACAATACCCAACACACTGACTTATTTCCAAAAGTTTAATGAAAGGAATGAAGAATAAAAATTATGAAACAAAATATCCTGGTTAAAACTTCCTGTTGCGGATTAGGAAGAAACTAAATATACTAATCCCTGTGACTATAATAATAATTACAGATTTTTAAAAAATATGCTAGGCCGACTTATCCTAATACATAAAAAAATATATCTTAAAGCGTGTTACCTTGTGGTTTAGGAAGAAACATGAATATTCCAATCCCTGTGAGTATAATAAGAGTTCCAACAACAAAGAAAGGCAACCCATATCCTCCTACCTAAAAGAGGTTTAAAAAGAAAATTAAATATCCCAGAATGCTTTTTAGTTTACACTTTTTTGACTAGGTGGGTGCTTTTCTTGTGGTTTAAATATTTCAAATGACAATAATTTAGTAAGCCTTCAAAATTGTCTGAGATAAGGTTAAATATATATTTGGTGTTAAACAATAGGTGATGATGTCACTAGGTAGTAATGTGACACCAAACAGGAAAAGTGAAAATAACATAGCAGGTGCAATGTATAAATATTTCTTGTGCAACCAGCTTTTGAGCAACTGGCTTTTGGAATGTGGGCTCTTTGGGTAATAAGACTTTTGGGCGAATAGTCCTGAAGCTAAAAATATTTGGGTAAATAGTTATCAGCATAATGACCCAGAACTTGCCTGACTAGAATAAGGATTTTTGTTTTACTTATCTTTATTTTCCCTTGTAATATATCTGTGTTCCTTTTTACTTCTCATATTTTATTTTTGTTTTTATACAATGTGATGGTAGGTAAATATACTGAGAGAGGTTAGTATCTGTATTCAAAGATTCGTATTGGTCATGTTTAGAAAAAAGTAAAAAAAAAAAAAGCAAATGTTTACCACACTCCCAGGATAAGTGGCGAAACAGATTAACTTTATTTCAAATGTCAGGTTTTTAAGTCTTTATAAATTCATATTTTGATAGCTAAGAATATTTTTAAGTTTTTTACAATAAATAAAATAACTGTCCCTTATTTATAATTGACTGAATTTAAAGGTTTTAAAATGTTAAAAATATTAAAAATGATAAACTAAAAAAATTGATATATTTTTTTTTAAATTGGTTATTGTTTTTGTTTGTTTTTAAATTTAAAAAATTTGAAGCTGCATTATTTTAAAACACCAGCATTTACAGTCTGCATGTATTCCCTTTGTCAAAAAGTGATGGGCTTAAAAGTAGTTCGCTTATTGTGTAAAAACTAAATAAAATCTTTGAAAGTAACGTAATTAAACAACATCTAAAAGATTTACAGTGTTTCACTCACAAAAACAGTGGCTACATTTTGCGGGAACTCATTGGAGATGATTGCAAAACCCGATGTCATAAAAGCAGACATGGCCAAAGCCTCGACACAACGACAAGCAAAACAAACGACGATGAAATGTAATCCAGGTGGGCATCGATCTAATGTGCTAGAACAAGGTAGAAGAAAAAATATTTATGAATAATTTAGAGAATCAAAAACTGAAGGTTTTACAGTAGGCTATGTTTAGGATATACAGGATGTTATCAATTTATTACAATAATAGTATTCTATGTAGAACGTCATTTATATGTACAACAGTTTATCAGTTTTGTTCTGAAATATAATGAATTTTTTTTGGGAGGGGGGAATTATTTCTTATATCAGTGATTTTTACTCCCTCCTTTTAATGTCAGATACCATTTTTCCTTATGTCATAATATGATACAACTATAAATTACCTATAGACAGTAAAAAAGCAAAGTATATATTATTTTTAGGAGACCTAAATGGAAATTGAACAGGTTTCTTATGTAAAAAGAAACTCACTCAACAAATTTATAGAATTTAAAAAAAAAGGCATATGGAATTGACAAGTGGCTAAACTATAGGGCCTACAGATCTTTTAAAAAAATAATGATCATTAAAAGAAAGGGAACTAACCCAAACAAAATGGAGCAGCTTCCAGCAACCAACAGTCCAGACACTAGCATAAACTTGGGTCCAATCCTGGTCAGCTGTACAAAGACAAAATCATTAATTTAATATAGTTGTCCATTTCAGATCAGCTAGGAGGATGATGATTTAATAAGTAATTCAGGTATATTCAGGTATATTTTATTTAGATATTTAGTAATCTGGACACACTAATAGAAGCCAGTATAATTAAATGAAAATAATTGAAAATCTCCGAGAGTACAGACAATGAATAAATTAGAATAAAACTAACAAAAATATAACCTATTTAAAAAAAGAATAACACTACAATGTAGAGTTACTTCCCTTAATTTCATTTTGTTTCAGCATTACTTAATGCATATGTTCTTTGTGTTATTTTTGTTCATATTGACTATATCATTTCCCCACTAATTAACTCCTTATCTATTTATTTAATCAGTGTTATCTATTGTATATCAACTCTATTTTTGTGGCTTCAGCATTTCTTTTCAGCACAAAAAACAACATACCATACACTAAGTTTCTTTCAAGTATCACCTTCGGAACACACTTTCACTTCCCACCGCTATGGAAATTTCAAGCCCCCCCCCCCCCCTCTCCCCAGGAGAAAAATGTCTGAACATAAGGCAATACAACATTAGTCAATACACTTAGACCCTTATCAAAATAACATAAGTCAATACACTAACACCCTTATCAAAATAACATAAGTCAATATGCTAACACCCTTATCAAAACCCCATAATCCCTTTATGAGCTTAGGTCAAAATAACCTTGCTCCATTTACCTTAAGGACTTTTATCATGAAAGGGAAGGAAACAAAAAAAACAGTTTTTTTTTATCAACAAAAGTAATGTTTTTGTTTTCTTTTTCTTTTTAGATTCATTAATACAAATTCTTACCACTTACACAGTTACCAAAGAATGGAGATGAGATAAAGATGATGTAATCACTTACATAGTTACCAAAGAATGGAGATGAAATGAAGATCATGAACTCGAATGAACTGAAGATGAAACCTGTGACTGTGTTAGAGACACCTTTCTTTTCTGCCTGGAATGGAAGTGAAAAGGATTTTGTAAACAACAGATCACTTCATGCAGTTATTCCTATCTGCATATTTGTACTGATGGTGGAACATGACATGGGTACCTAACTCATGTTAGGGAAAGTAAAGTCGGCTGGGCATAGTGCTGACCACACTATCTCTTCATAAGCTGAGGTAACAGAAACAAGTGAACTCCACTTCACTTGCCCGTCAGGTTTGAAAGGGAAACTTTTACGCACCGGTTCAGCATACTGGCACCTTTTTCCATGTGGGGAAAAAATATTACTTTTCTTGTATTGTAACGTTTATTAATAAATAAAAGTTAGGCAATCCATCACCTATTTTTTTTTTACAAAAAAAAAAGCACTGACAGTTATTATAAGTGTATCACGATGTAAAATTCTACCCCCTGATTGTAAATAGACATTCTATCCAGTCCATGAATAGACATTCTGCACACACTGTAAACAGATATTCTGCCCCCACTGTACAAAGACATTCTAGCCACACTGTAAATGGACATTCTGCCCCACTGTACATAGACATTCTAGCCACAGAGTTATGCGAATTCTGCTCCTTTAAAACAATATAACTATAATCACACAGACTGTGCATGTAGATTCATGTCCTTATCTGTAATTATAACGAACTCTATAGACAATAAACAAAAGCTTCATGAAGACATGCTTCACATGCAATTATGTTTGTTATACCAGTAGCAAAGTTCTGCTATATCTTCACTCCTCTCCACATTTACAAAACTGACTAATCCATTATCCACTGCCCATTAACAAAACTGACCAATCCATTACCCTCACCCCCCTTTAACAAAACTGACCAATCCATTACCCTCACCCCCCCCCCCCTTTACTTTAACAAAACTGACCAATCCATTACCCTCACCCCCCTTTAACAAAACTGACCAATCCATTACCCTCACCCCCCTTTACTTATACAAAACTGACCAATCCATTACCCTCAACCCCCTTTACTTTAACAAAACTGACCAATCCATTACCCTCACCCCCCTTTAACAAAACTGACCAATCCATTACCCTCACCCCCCTTTAACAAAACTGACCAATCCATTACCCTCACCCCCTTTAACAAAACTGACCAATCCATTACCCTCACCCCCCTTTAACAAAACTGACCAATCCATTACCCTCACCCACCTTTAACAAAACTGACCAATCCATTACCCTCACCCCCCTTTAACAAAACTGACCAATCCATTACCCTCACCCCCCTTTAACAAAACTGACCAATCCATTACCCTCACCCCCCTTTAACAAAACTGACCAATCCTTTACCCTCACCCCCCTTTACTTTAACAAAACTGACCAATCCATTACCCTCACCCCCCCCCCCCCCTTTACATTAACAAAACTGACCAATTCATTACCCTCTGCCCATTAACAAAACTGGTCAATCCATTACCCTCTGCCCATTAACAAAACTGACCAATCCATTACCCTCTGCCCATTAACAAAACTGACCAATCATTTCCCTCTGTACATTAACAAAACTGACCAATCCATTACCCTTTGCCCATTAACAAAACTGACCAATCATTTCCCTCTGCCCATTAACAAAACTGACCAATCCATTACCCTCTGCCCATTAACAAAACTGACCAATCCATTACCCTTTGCCCATTAACAAAACTGACCAATCATTTCCCTCTGTACATTAACAAAACTGACCAATCATTTCCCTCTGTACATTAACAAAACTGACCAATCCATTACCCTTTGCCCATTAACAAAACTGACCAATCATTACCCTCTGCCCATTAACAAAACTGACCAATCCATTACCACTTGAGGAAAAAATGGTGCCATCAGGGAGACCAATCCATTACCCTTTGCCCATTAACAAAACTGACCAATCATTACCCTCTGCCCATTAACAAAACTGACCAATCCATTACCTCTTGAGGAAAAAATGGTGCCATCAGTGAGAAGCCACACCCACTGGAGAACATGGACAAAATCAAGAGGCCCACAACCATCTTTTTCTTGTAGGACAGCCTGAAGAGTCTAAACTTCTGCTCCAGACTTTTGTTTGAGGAGGTAGTAAAGTCGACGAAGGAAGTGTATATGAGATTGACAGGCCCATCAGTAACTGACACCTGTCTGTGGGAGATTGTTCCATTTTTTTTTGATGGCCTAAAACAAACAAAATCTCAATATTTAAAAAAATATTAAAAAACATAAGATTCGAATAATTTAATGTAATTAATATTATTCTAGTTTTTGTAGTTGTCATAATTGACAGTTAAAATTTTAAAGTATTTTAATGTGTTTATTTTAGTAGTAAGGTTAAGTAATGTGTAAAACACTTAGATCTAGTAGAGTTAATAATGAATAATGCTTTTCAAAATAAACAGTTTATAAAATAAATATTAAATGAAAATAAAAAAATTGTTGCATATATACTGGTAAATAAAAAACATAAATGGTGGAAAAAATTAAGAACGAAATATTAAAGTAACAGGCCTACAATTAAAAACACTTAAAACATTAAAAAAAATTACAGTCTGTGTTGAATATTTTATTCAAGCTTTTATATAATTTATCATACACACTTCTGATGTGTGCTTGTAAAAGTGTCTTCATATAAAATAATGTTTTAAAAATGTGTTAATGTTTACTTTATAAAGCAAAAAATATATTATAACACTTCGTTTACATTCATTGTGTGTGCTATGTTGTTTTTTTTTTACACTCGATTCAATTCTATTTAAATATATTGTAAGGGACGAGAACTTTAGAGGAGATTACTCCCGCTTTATTTATTGTTATAGTGCACAATTAATTTGAATTTGAAAGAAATCGGCCCGTTAGACGTGTTAGAAATGTTTCTTTTTAGTTTTGACCGATGACAAACGTTAAACCCGACACATAGACAGACAGAGAAAGCAAGTTAAATAATAGCTTGTATTTTTTTTTAAAATCAATAACTAAAAAGAAAGGCGTGGGTCACTTTTTAATATTTAAAAAAAATGTATTTAATACATAAATTAGCAACGAAAACTTTTCATTTTTGTTATTGTAATAGTGGTTTATAATTATATATTTTTTAAAAAAAACTATTTTCACAAGCTTGAAATTAACTTGCTTCCTCGTGCCTTTGCGATGTACGTCACGGATCGAAACTGGCGAGAGAAATTTCGACTATTTCTTACTGACCTATTTCTTTGAAACTTGGCACTTGGGTCAAAATACAGTGACAATGCACAAGCTGACGTCCGTCATCTTTCCGAGTTCCGAACTTGGGGCAAGTCATCATTACCGTTTCCCGTTTGTCCCAAAGACACATGGAGCAGGTAAAGTAGAATTCAACTGTTTCAATGACCTCGGCATACAATGGGAGTGATCAGCCCTTTGCCTTAGTTTCCCTAACGCGAGTCTAGTAGGCCTACCAATCAGAGCTAGATGAACTCGGGAGCGTCATATAGGCTCTGTCTCGAGATTCAAACTCGATATTTTGGGGTTAGCAGTCGTAAGCTCTAGCATTCGACCCCCCGTCCCCGTCCCCGTCCCCACCCCCCCCCCCCCCCCCCCCATCCGTGATAAATGGTCACATTTGTTAGACCTTTTTAAAAAAATAGATTTTATTGTATATTGCAGAAATCAGGAAAATTAAGAGCCTAGGCTAAAGAAATCCATGCAAGATATTGCTCTTTGATTTGGCGCTTAATAATATTGCATTGGCATTTCAAAATTACGTTTTCACAGTAAACTTTTCGAGAGATCTTGGATCGCCAAAACTCCCTAACATGAAGGTTTTCACCATTTTAGAATTTTAGAAATCTGATTAATTTATGCTTCTTTCAGAATTTCTACATTTGCGATTTTTTTGTTTTATTTTTTAATATCGTGGTTTTAAATTTGTTCTTGGAAACAACTACTTCATTTATTTAAACTGAAAGAATTATGGTTTATTATATCCAAGCGTATAAAATAAAAATCATCTCTTACCAACATAATGATCCATCCTCCATTGTCAGTTTCTGCATCGCATAAGATATTTTTATTTCTGTAGTAGGTCATCTCAAATTGTGTAGGTAAAATTGACGGAACTCCTCTACCCTTTTCACAAGGCAAAATCTATAAATATATATAATATATATAAATATAAAATAATATATAAATGATTAAATAGAGTTGTTGCCCAAAGAACTTACCTAGTATCTTATTTAATCGTCTATACCCAGCCGTCTATATCTCTCTAACGTGGACTGCTACATATATTTGTAATAACCCTATTGAAATTGTATGAGTGCCCACGCTAGTCCAATCCTTTATAGCTCTAGATATTTTAATAGTGGTGCATCATAATAATATTTGACGAAAATAATTACAAGCTTTTGGGTCGTCCATAAATGACGTCACACTCTTAGGAGGGAGGGGGGTCCGTAATTTTGCGACGGTGTGTGATGAGGGGGGGGGGGGGTTCAGATGGTGTGACGTCACTTTTTTAATTACAAAAAGCAATGTTAGGTATCGAGTTTTAGCAGTTATTTCGCGTTTTAGAAAACGGTTTTAAAAAAATGAAATAGGAATCCATCAAAATACTCTATGTTGACTGAGTTCTGAAAAGATTTTGGAAAAATATCGATGTTTTAAGATTAAATTCAACAGCAATTTTGAGGGGTGTGGGTTGTAGGCTGAGGTGTGACGTCATTTATGGGGTGGTCTGGCTTTTTGTGACGGAGGGGAAGGGGGTAGGTAAAAATCGTCAAAAAAGCTTGACATCATTTATGGATGACCCCTATATATTAACTTGATTCCTCTATCTGTCGTGCTTAGCGCTTAATGCTTCGTCATTGATTGGAACTGCCGAACAAAATTAAGACCATTCTTCTATCTAAACGATTAACTTGGCACGTGGGGGAAGATTCGATGATAATGCAATTAGACATAATATAATTATGGATTAAAATGAGAAAATAGAGGCATATAGAACTTTATATTATTAAAATAGTTTTTTTATCATGTTTGTTTTGTTATAGACAGTACTTTTTTCTCTCGTTAACTTGAGCTATTTTCTTAAGCAGACCTTAATTTTGGGGTTTGGGGGTGGTATTGCCTAGTGGGTATTAGTCGCGGAATTTATCCAGCAGTTGATATCTTGTCGTGAATGTCCGTGGGTTTACGTCTCGAGGGCAGAGCCGGCGTTAGGGGGTGGCAAACGGGGCGGTCGCCCCAGGCCCCGCGCTTGAAGGGGCCCCGCGCTTTAGCAACGCCATTGTTGTCTGAATTAGTTTGTAAACTTAAATAAGTTTTGCTGAATTAAATTTAAAAAAAAAACCAACTAAATGGCCGAAATTGTTGGATGTTAAAACTGAGGCCACGACTGATGTTAGTGAGTTATCCTCTACATGGACTGGGACAGACCGTTATTCTAAAGAAAGACATTAGTGTCACACATTGCTGACACGGTCGACTCGCTATTGTCCTGAGGTGAATGGAGATGGCGGTCGCGAATTAGCCCCCGACCTGACATTGGAGGTAAAATGGGAAAAACACGTAAAGAGATACACTATTGTATGCAGAAAGTTGAAGACGTTTTTTTAGTGAGCAGGCGGGGGTGCCTGTAGTAAACAGTCAGTGACCTGATGATGGCTTGCAGAGGAGGGAGTGAGAGCGGATGGGGACATGTCCCGGACATCCAGAGTATTTATCCCTAAAATCATAATGTATACACTGTATGGGCGTCTTTTGAGCTTATTCACCACGATACGTTTGATAGGCATCCATACAGTATAAATGTTCATATATATTTTATAACTTGTCAGGTCATCTTTAAATACATTATACTTGTATTTATTTTTATATTTTTGAAGGGCGTTTATACAGTAATTTTGTCTATTTTCACTTTGGTAAACTTTAACGGTATTCGTAAAGTGATTAAGCACATGTTTATTTTAATTAATTGTAGGGATATTCAGTGTAATAGTTAAGGCCGTAGTGATCCTTGTTTTAAAATAGTGTAGGTATACTAAACAAATTATAAAGTCTATACTGTTTAATACATCGGGCTGAGACTGTTTTATGGTAAAGTTCTCCTGATTTCTAAAATGTCTAAATTACCGGCAGTCCGAGCATGCCGTTTCGAAACTCATAAATAAGATGAAGCTGGCTGTCACATGGTTCACTTTCTAATTATAGACACGGACCTTCTCTTGTGAGAACGCGGTCTTAATCTGTAATGTAATATGTGGACGCTCTATAAAAACGCACCTTCTCTTGAATGGCTGCGGTCAGAGATCCAGTAACGTAGTATCCGACTGATTTTTTTTAGGGTTTGGCATCCCATAGATTTAAATGTACAGTTATCCTTTACCTCACCCCACCAACTGTCACCCACCCCAGTGTTCCACCTCACTGAGCGTCCGTGATTACATTTGAGAGTCATTTCATTTGGATATCTATAGCCGTAAACAGTTTTTCACGATTCGAGCTTATTCCGAAATCTATCAATTTTTTGCTATTTTCCCCGGCATCCACACACTTTGAATGCCACTGTTAACACTAGATAAATTGAGAAAATATCAATACTATCATCCGCCACTGTGGACCGATTTAACGTTGCTTCAACGTGATTTAGCCATTTTTCCTCTACACCATGGCTACATGAGACAGAGATAGATTTCGCAAGTATGAATCAGGTGCATCAAAAGCGAGGAAACGCAATTTAAGAGAAGAATTTGATAATACACAAGCAGGCGCGTTGCCCGAAGGTATTAAGTCAGCCAAACAGTGCCTTCAGTACATTTGGAGTATTCGGGATTCCTTTCCCAATACGGCGATCGCCTACAGAATCTTGCTAACAGTTCCAGTCACAGTTGCAAGCGCCGAAAAAAGTTTCTCCAAACTGAAGTTGATCAAGAACTATTTGAGGTCAACGATGTCCCAAGATAGGCTCTGCTGCCTTTCGATTCTGTCAATAGAAAAAGACATAGCCTCCAGTTTGGACTATGATGATATAATCATGGAATTTTCCTCACAAAAGGCAAGAATAGTAGATCTTCGTTTGTGAACGTACCTGTACGATTTTCATAAGTAAACATTAATGTAAAAAATCAGGTTTGAAGCTGACGTTCATCGTCTCTTTAATGCAGAGGCGTAGCGACCCTTCCCGGCGCCCGGGGATAAACTTTTCGATTTGCACCCCCCCCCCCTCAAGATTTTGATTTGCACTCCCCTCAAACTTTCGATTTACAACCCCCCCCCCTCAAGATTTCAATTTGCACCCCCCCCCCTCAAACTTTCAATTTGCACCCCCGCCCCCAACCTTTCAATTTATTGTCCCAACCCATTTTGGCACCCCCTAAGGTCGGCGCCCGGGGACATATGTACCCCCGACCCTCCCCCCTCGCTACGCTACTGCTTTAATGCGTGTCTCAAACTTATATCTGTTTTATTTTTTTACTTTTCAAACAAAAAGCCTTAACAGAAACAAGCAACGTTTTAAACAAATTATTTGTTAATCGGTGTCTTAATGTTAATACAACATTGATAAGCAGCTTAAAAATACCATATATATCGTTATAAATAATAATTCGCGTTGAGAAGAAAAAAAAACGCCTCACTGTACATGTTTTATTTAATTATACACCAATGAAAAAAATAGAAGGCCCCGCGCGGATGGTTGGCCATAGGCCCCGCGTACCCCTAACGCCGGCTCTGCTCGAGGGTGTTATTGACCGGACAACATTACTGTAACTTCGTGTTTATATAAAGCTAACACTAATGATATTATTCGTTCGATGAAAGCCTTTTTTCATTTTATAATTATAAAAACGGACATTCCCATCGTAGGAGACGTAACCCTAACTCCACACAATTTAGCCAGGTAGGATACCATATAATAAAGTCAAAGTGAGGTAGGCCACAAATGACAAAGTCAGACTAAGTCAGGTAGGCTACAATATGACAAAGTCAAAGTCAGGTAGGCTACAATATGACCCTGATGATCAACAAGTAACAGACACAAATGCGAATAACGCAATGTACTTACAGTTTTAAAAATAACAAGAAGCTTTCAATAAGCGATATGATATTATTCTTGAAGAAACAAGCAGCGAATCCACTAACATAAGTAGCTATGAGGTAAATAGCGCTTATAAAAACTTACATATTTGAAAACCCAACTTGGGGTGGGGGGGCATGGCGAATAGAAATGTAAACGCCTGAACCGAATACATTCCTGTTTAGTACATACAGAGGAATGTCTATAACCACTAATCAATCATGCCATTAAAAAATCGCTGCATTAAACTACAGTAGATCAAAATTTAGTTACGCCATTTTACCACATACCCACTGACAAACAGACACAAGAAACTAAACAAAAGCTTCTATAAGAAAGTTTTTCACTAGAAGCATTTTTAAAAATTATGAATGCTCTTGCTGGATAAACAAATAGTGTTATTTTTTTATACAGTAGTAGATCTAGATTTTTCTTCTAGAATATAACTGTAAAGGCACGATACGAACAAAATCTATTTCAAATATTGATTTTTTTTACAGTTGAAGTGCGATAAGAGATCAATGTCGCCTGACTTGCCATCGAGAATTGTGTTGACTCACCCAACCAACAAGTCGATCTTATGTGACACAGAAACAGACGGTGGAGGGTGGATCTTTTTTTTTTTGTAGTTGATGCTTCTTCTTTCTTTGGGTTTATATTTGGCGTTAATGTTTACAATACTAAATAGAAGATTGATTATTTTAAAACGTTATTTGCGGACGCGATATTAAAAAAAACAAGAAAGAAATGTGTATTGATAATTGTATGATCTTTTGTGCAATGCAGGAGAAATTAATCTTTAACACATCTTACCTTTTATTTGTAACTATAAAACCAATGGCGGATCCATATATGACGTCACTTTGCTAATTGAGGTGAATGTGGCAAATGACAAATGAATTAATACAATAAAGTAAGTGAAATTTTCTTTTCGAACCTGACTCTCCATAGGGCAAGTAGATTTCTCCTGTTTCTGTTATCTTGGCACGTGAAGGGGTAGTCAGCACTATGCCCAATCGCCTTTACTTTCATTAACTTGAGTTAAGTAACCATCAAAGCTGGGTGGACTATGAGGCGTTCTACTGACTCAAACCTGGATTTGAACTCGAGACTTCCGGGTTAGGAGTATAGCGCTAATACGATAAAGCTTACATTTTATTCTACAAAAAAATAGAAAGAATGCATGAAACATGTTTTATTAACAAGCTTTTAATAATGCACTAAAATGAAAAAATAAATGATTTTCTTTAAATATATAATAATACACTGCTATTTAAATAACTTAATTAAGTCACTTTATGTTTGGTAATGAGCTGTAGTATTTTAGAATTAAAAACTACTGAAAATCTAAATTAGGCTCATGTTTTAAATACAGTTCATGCTTTAATTTAAACTCCTGCTTTACATTTAAGCTGGCGCTGTAGATTAAGCTCACGTAACACAATTCTACACATGTGTTATTCACGAAGTTCATTTTGTTGAGTGCAGTATTGTCAGGAGACATTTGTGTCGTGAATCTTTCGGTATTTTTAAGGATTTGAATATATAATATGATTATGTTGTGGGAAAATGTATGTGGGTCTTATTATAAGAACTCATTTTAAAGTTACATCAAAGGCTATTTTGTCCTGATCGGTATTGTCAGTTTTTAAATGCGGTAGTTCTTTCTCTAGGTATCAGTCAAAGAGAGGATGAAGTAGCTCCACAAACATATATCGATATAGAAATAGAGATTTAAGTATTGTGTTCAGCACAAACTTATGCGTATGAACTGACGTCATAAATTTATTTACTCAATCATCCTTAAACGAAGATTTACTTGCTTAGTGATAAAAAAATAATTTTTTAAAGCATCAGTAGCCAGTTACTGTGTTAGGTTTACTAATATGCAAAAGTATCCCGACATACTAACACGCTTACACACTCGAACATGTTTTCTGCACGAAAGAACAGCAATGTAGGAAAGTCTACAATGTAGAGTTTTAACGAAAAAATAGAAGATTCTATTAGTGTAAGCTCTAAAGTCACAAAATTGTCTAAAGAAATGTTATCCTAATTTCTTTTTATTTTAAAAATTGTTTACAAGTGGAATAAACGTTTGAATATACACAAAAATGCAGATAAAAACATGCATATAGACATATTTATTAAATCTTTATTGTGCGTAAGATAAAAGAAAAACGATGACATTTTTTTTCTACAATATCATTTCGAAGGTTTATATTACATTTTTGTAACATATTTGAAAGAAATATAATGTAGGCGTTTTATCTAAACGTTATTACATCTCTGTTTCACGAACAGTTTGGTATGAAATAAATGTTATTTCCTTCTAAACTTCATTTCTATTTCGTCAACAGAATCTCTTAGCCCAGCAACGTGATACCAGTTCAGTCCACTGTGAGCTTTAGCTTTCCACACACCTGTGGGGTGGGCATAGTGGCAATTACTATACCACCAACCACCTCTTTGATTTATGGGACATTTATCAGTGCTTCGATCCTTGTCAAAAGTAGAAAACACTCTGTCTTTTTGGTAATCTTTAAGCGCGTCCCCTGCATCGCCCCTGTAGTTCCCTATCCTCAATCTGTATCCATCCGCTTCACTCTCTACTTTAAAACTGTCGTAGACGGCGTAGTAAGGTTTATCTTTGTAGCGCATATCAGCTCTCAACTCAAAGTTACCCTGAAGTTTTCAAAAGAAAAAAAAAACAATTTTAAACTATGCGATCGTTTAATAGTCCCATGTTATCATTGTAGCATCCGTGAATTGTACTATTTTTAGACTAAATAACACAAATCTTTGTGTATCAAAATAAAATAGAACAAAGGACAACAAGCACGTCTCTACCATGGCACCTAGTTCAAGATGATCGAAGATTGACAACTTCTAGGTAGCTTTTGGCCTATTGTTAGTTTCCTCATGTGACCATTATTTTCTGGCTGCATACAGTGTGAAACTTACAACTTGTACATGTATTCGAAGTTTGTAAAATTTTAAGTCACTTTATGTTTGATAACGAGCTGTAGTTGAGTGTGTGAGTGAGAGAGAGAGAGAAAGAGAGAGAGAAAGAGAGAGAGAAAGAGAGAGCGTGCGTGGGTGGGTTGGAGCATGGAGGATGTGGTCTAGATGTTGATTACCCGTTTGTTTACTGGGAAAGTCACGAGATCGAAACTGACTAAAGACCGTAGATCGTTACCCGATTGAACGGCCCCACTAGATAAACAAACTGGACTGTATCTGAGGAGAAGGAACAAAAAAGCCTGTCGGAAACCATAAACTATCATATTCTCTATTCTTCTGTCGTCTATAGCTTTAAGAACATCCGAAGGGGACAACGCCAGAATGGGCATTTGCCCGAATTATGTTAATAAATGGACACTTGCATTAGGGCGTGTCCATACAGGTCAGCCTTTCGAGCATACGGCATTCGGGCAAGTGTCTTTCGGGAATTGGTCGTAGACCTTCTTTATACATGGCCCATTCGGCGCCATCGTTTTACGATTACTCGTGAAACTGCTTCCATTTTCATTTCTCTTATTAACCTAGCATTGCAGATGGTGTTGGGCCAATGGATGCCACTTATTTAGAAAGAATGCAGTGATTGCAAAAGATTCCAGTGATTAGAAGGTCGCGGTGGTTGCCTTCAAGTATTTACTGTCATATCTGTATTAGGGTATTACTTTTGAAAAGTCTGTATTTGGTCTACGAAGATATTTTCTTCGATCGCCACATTTCTTGCATAGCTAAAAATGCGTGTTAGGCTTTAGAGAATCGTGTTTTTATTTCAACGGTACAGTCTCCTTCATAATTGTGACGTGGCCTAGATGTTCATAACGAAAGCGTGTAGGCACGGAGAGATTGTGTGTGAGAGTGGACTCCCCTAAGAAATGTGTGAACTGTAGTGTGTAATCGGTGTGTGGTGTATCGTCAACTTAGAGTAGCATGTAGTCAGTGGTTTTGGTTTGAATGTTACCAGCGTTACCCTGTAGAAGTTGAAAATTATATTGGATTATTACATTTGAACTGTGTTTTATTTTGTGTTATACCTGGTTCCAAAATGAAATGGGAAACGGAGCATAACAAGTGAGGGCTTAAGTCCGGGATTTGAACACAATAAGATTAGAGTTTTTACCCCTAGACAAAAAGGAAAATATCTAGTATCAACGGCAGTGTCACAGCCGAATGGAAACAATCTAGTATTAACGGCAGCGTTACAGCCGACTAAAAAAATATCTAGCATTAACGGCAGCGTTACAGCCGACTATGAAGAAATCTAGTATTAACGGCAGCGTTATAGCCTACTGGAAAATATCTAGTATTAACGGCAGCGTTATAGCCTACTGGAAAATATCTAGTATTAACGGCAGCGTTATAGCCGACTAGAAAATATCTAGTATTAACGGCAGCAGTCACAGCCGACTGGAAAAGACTTAGTATCAACAGCCACAAAACTTTTGAACAGTGCTGCAGACATCATGGCCATAAATAATGAAATTAAAAATACAGTGATAAAGCTAGGAGAGAAATTGAGGGAACTTACTAGCTACAAGGTGGACTACATTAGCATAGCAAGTAAGATATCAAATTTTTGAGCTACAATATTAGTATCTCAGTCCTTTATCACATCAGAAGCAAATCATTGCGCCGCCACTAACATGAAAGCTCTAGCTACTGTCCCACTTGCAGAAGACCTAGTCAACCAGACACGCAATCTAGGCAACAAGTCAACAGAGTGGAGAACTAGGTCAAGGGCAGCTGAGCAGAAGGTAACTTTAATCCAGAATCAAGTTAATAGTCTTTTCAAAGATACAAATGATACTTTAATCATAGTTAAAGACTGTGATGTCAAGATAGCAGGATCGAAACAAAAATGTTTGGACTCCAGAGCCAGAGCTGAGCAGAAGAGCCAGAGTCAAAGCCAGAGCCAAAGTCAGAGCCAGAGCCAAACCAAAGCCAGAACCAGAGCCAGAGCGAAATCGAGATCCAGAGCCAGAATAATGTATCAAAATTAGAGTGGTGTATGAACTTGTATTATATGAATAGCTTCTAATTTTCATTCTGTCATCATTGACTAGATTTATTTCAACATCTCTACTTCATAAAACGAAGGGAAAGTAATGATTTTTTTTTTAAAAACCCTGTTGATTTATAGACTAGGTGTATAAAGCTGTAAGTAGTTAATAAATGCTTACGTCAAACATTTAATTGTAGAGATATAATTTTTTGCCCGCCATCATGTATTTATAGTGAGATTTAAAGCATGTAAAAGGTCAGATAAATATTGATTTAAAATGTCTACTGTACATGTTAAGTAGTTGTGCAAGATGGATCTTAGAAATGCTGTTTAATTTTAGGGAAATGAGAAACCTTTTTTTTAGGGGGGAGGTGTGACCTGGCCTAGATGTTTATAACGAAAGCGTGTAGGCACGGAGAGATTGTGTGTGAAAGTGGCCTCCCCTTAGAAATGTGTGAACTGTAGTGTGTAATCGGTGTGTGGTGTATCGTCAAAATTACATAGGGTAGCATGTAGACGTAGTCAGTGTTTTTGGTTTGAATGTTACCAGTGTTACCCTGTAGAAGTTGAAAATTATATTGGATTATTACATTTGAACTGTGTTTTAATTTGTGTTATACCTGGTTCCAAAATGAAATGGGAAGTGGAGCATAACATAATTGACAATGCTGACTAATATTGTGAAATCTGTTTCATGTGTCGAGATAGTCACCAAGAATCATGTAATGAATGCATGAAAATTTTTTAACGAATTGGTATCTAGAGCAGGGGTTCCCAACCCTGTGCCCGCTGAACGATTCGTATTAGACAGAGACAGCATTTTTTTTCATAAACATTATTTTAAAATATGATTTATTTTTATTTATTTGTTACAGTTTTTATTTTTTATTTTTTGACTGCCTATGTTTATTAAATATGTTCAATACTTGTCCCAACTTGTCTAGCGGCGAGCCAGACTGCACTATTTACGCTAGCCTGGAACGGCTAGTGCCATTTGCACATCACACCTTGTACACGCAGAAAACCCGAAGTGAGCGAATTGAACGAACGCCACGAACCGATCCGATAAACGCCGAAGGCGCTAAATCACAAGGCACGTGTTGTCATTGTGATTTCTGCCCTGTTCGGGTCGCGACAGTTAGATAAGAGACATGTTCGTCAGATGAAACACGAATTAGGAGTTTTCTATTTTAAAAAATTTAACAGGCTGAAAGCGAGGTGCGTAATTTATTGTATTCATAAGCGATGATCTATTAATAACTATTATAATTGAGGAGATAGTTATAGTTCTTGTTATTATCTATTTGTCGATTTAAAATAGGTGGTGCCCGCCACCCTACCGATATTTTAGAATGTGCTCTAGAGTATAAAAAAAAGGTTGGGAACCCCTGGAGGAAACACACGATCCTTAACCAGCAAGAAAAGAAATTTGGAAATCACTAATGAAAACTTGGCTTACTACAATTTTGCGGAATCAAGAGTTTCTTACAAACTTACCTCTGAAGTTATTTTCGCAACCAACTCATTCCCTAGCCAAAAGTCGCCGTCAAAAGAACCAAATCCCCACTTATATTCCTCCCAGTTTCTGGTGAAGTTGACGTCACCTTTAACACGTCGCTGAAAGAAAGATTTGTGTAAATAAACATACAACTTATTGGTCACTTTTCTATTAATACACTTTTCACTCAAAATAATATTAGAGATTCTAATTGGTTTTATTTATTGAACATACATCAAATATAGATTGATGTTCTCTCGTTTGCACCTACTTTCATTAAGAATTTCTCAATTAGAGAATAATGGCTAATATTGAAATTTTTTACTTTCTCGTATACGAAGTAAAGAGGAAGTATTGTAATCGTGCAAAAATTCGAAATCGAGATCTTCACAAATTTCGAATTTTTACACCTTCCTGAGTCGGAAAAACATAGTTTTGCAAATTTTGTCCGTATGTCTGTGTGTGTTACGTCTGTGTGGATGTGTGTCTGTGAACACGATAACTTGAGTAGGTTAATGAATTTTTTTATATAAGTATTATATCAAATTTGTAGATCGGTATCAATTTTTCATCGATTTCCGGTAATACTTGAGTACTTTCAGATAGACGAAATTTCACAAATAAGTAAAAGATCTAAATCTTTAACATTCTAATCAAAGTTTCCGTTTACAGGAAGTAGTACTTTATGCTATTTCCGATTTCTTAAAAAAAAACGCATATGAATCTATAAAGTACTAATATTCTGCACTAGTATAAACACATTTTTTTCTATTTTCGCCATTTTGGGTAATTTTGTTTTATATTATAAAATTATTTTAAGATTTTTTAATCAATATCTTACCACCATAATGATCCATCCTCCACCATCAGTATCCGTATCACACAATATTTTCTTATGTCTTGAGTAAGCCGATACAGCACGTAGTGGTGGATGTGAAGACGAAAATCCTTTTTCGCACATGTACTTTTAAAATCATTAATTTCTAATCATTATTTAAATCTATTATAATTATAGAGTGGTAACTTTAAAATAATTCCTTCATTTTTACATATAAATTATACACAACTGTTTGGTAGGGGGCGGGCAGTCCGCAGGGGAGACAAACACACACATCTACATACACACGCAACTACTATAGGGCCTCCCTCTCTCCAGAGTTTCTTCCAGGCATCTTTTTACCGCCCCCCCCCCAAACGAAATGAAATTTATATAATTTATATAGAAAATATATACTTTTAACAGTGTCCGCCCCCCCCCCCCCAAAGAAAGTTTACCGCCCCCCCCCCCCCCGAAAATTTCAAGTGCCCCCCCCCCCCTCCCGGAGAAAAAAGTCTGGAAGAAACACTGCCTCTCTCTCACTCTCTCTCTCTCTCTCTCTCTCTCTCTCTCTCTCTCTCTATATATATATATATATATATATATATATATATATATATATATATATATATATATTTATTTATCTATATATATATATATATATATATATATATATATATATATATATATATATATATATATATATATATATATCAGAGGCGTAGCGGGGGCGGGTGGTGCGGGCCGCACTGGGTGACACAATTTAGGGGGTGACACCAAGACAAAAATTGCTAACTTTACTGAAAAAAAATTGCTTGTTTTCCAGTTCAATTAATAATTTATTTAAGTTAAATAGTCTTTTAAGTACAAATCAACAATTATAAACATCGTTACTTTTCCGTCAGCAGTGATTGAAGCTTATAAACATACATGTACGCATATGACAAATATACTTAAAGTATAGGTCTATGTAGGCCGATACACACACACAAACTGTGTTTCTCTCGCGGGGGGGGGGGGGAGGGTGACACCACGAAGAGTCGCACCGGGTGTCACCCGACCTAGCGACGCCACAAATATATATATATATATATATATATATATATATATATATATATATATATATATATATATATATATATATATATATATATATATATATATATGAGCTAGAAGTAAAGTTAACGAAAATGTATATGTGTACCTTAAAATAATTGCTGTACATGTAAGTGGCTTTAAGAATTTCATCATGTTGTCTACTGCAGTTTTCTTCATAGCTCTGGAAACGCAAGTTTAAATTATTTAAAGTATTGGTCATGTTAATCAGGTTTATTTGTATTGCTTCTAGACTTTTGTTGGTGTCGCCGTTTTTTTTATGTTCACCGTAAGTTTCTTCACCAAACTGAGGAAATCTGTCTGTTAAATTTTTAATGCTCTCATCGAACTTATCTTGCATGGTTTTAAATTTGGCTTCAAATATTTCTTCAATCGTTCTAAATTTATTTTCAATTTGTTTCAATAAGTTTCCTTCGATATTTTTAAGTGCCTCAATGTGAATCTCATGGATTTGGGGGGTACCTTGATTTCTACGCAGGCTGTCGACTTTTTCGCCTAACTGAAAAAAAGGTTAGATTTAGATTAAATTAAACTTTATTTCCATCTGCTCCATTAAATTAATTTTATATTATATCTAATGTAATTTCAGCGTTTCTGATTATTAGTTCTCCCTGATCTGATTCGTTGAAACGTGTAACCTCTGACATAATCTCCGAAGAATCCTTGGACATTTTATCGCAACTTGTCTCCAAACTTTTCCCTTTATTTCTGAAACCAACGGGCTTGTTTGACCACGGAACTTCCAGCTGTAAGGAAAACTTCAGGTCCGGGCTAGACTCGTCTGCTGTCGAAGGCGGGAAAACAAAAACTTCTCTCACGTCTGCACGCCCGTGGGGGTCAACAAAATACAACTGGCAGAGGAAGGCGCCGAGACCACACCCAGCCGTCCCCTCCACCGACACAGTAAGTTTAGCTGTGGTTTGGGTCATCTGTCCAGCTGCCTTGTACGGACTGTCCTTGTCCTTTTGTAAACCTTGCTCTGAAAGATGAGCAATGATGACCTTTCCGCTGTTATCACTGATGCTATAAATAGACATGTTGACCAGTGATGCCACGTGACTTTCAAGATCCTGTACACACACGAGCTGACCGCAGTACACTTTATCGGACTCCATGTACATTTCCCCCTCCATGGTAAACTTTAAACCTGAAAATTTTAGAAAAAAAAACCTCGTTTCTCTTTATTTGATATATCAATCACAACGATAATTTTTTTAAATCTATATAATAATTTATGTAAGCTACAACTTGAGCATATTTTTAAATACTTGTAAAGAAAATAATCATAGTACTCACTAAACGCATTGCCTATGAAAATAAAAATAAATAAACATATGACGATTCTCCACATGGCTGAGTACCCACAAACACCTTCAACTGTGTATCAGATTCGGCTTGTTTCTGTGTAGAGACTTATAAATATTCTACCTTATATATATTTTTTCTAGCACAAAAGGGGGCGTTGAAGATATCTATTACTTTTTCTAGTTGTTTTTCGGTAACAAGAATCGACATTATCAGATGAAAACAAATAATTAACCCACTCTTCGCGTTTATGTCATTTCTCGGAAAATTGTGTTTTTGTGTTTCGCAAGACATTTGAGTATTTTTTTTTTAATAATATGTTCTGCGTTTTATAAGAAACAATGTATTTTAAAGACGCACAAGTTTTATCTATCAGCAGTTAAAGTTGTGATATCAAGTGTTATAAGGCCTCCCATGTTCGATAAATAAAATGCTGTTTTTTAAAATACTTTTTTTCTCAAGGAGAACACAGGTCTTGGCACAAAGGGACGGGGAGGTAGGGTGATAGAGCGATCGACTACAAACGCAAAAGTCGGTACCTGGCTGTCTTTTAGGAAAGTAAAGATAAAGCGGCATCGCATCGTGCTAAACACACCATCCCTTCATATGCCCATATCAAGAAATAAATTAACTCTACTTCATCTCCCCTTATTAAACGCCAGGTACGAAATGAGAAATTTTTTTTTGACACGACGATTTCTGTTTTTCAGTCATACTATATTTTATAAGTAAATGTTGATGACAATTTTTGTTGAACACATACCATGAATGGTATTCTAGACGGACAGCGCCAAGCTTTATTTTCCTGAAAAATTACAACACGAAAACAACAGCCGCTCACGACCTTGGTCGCGAGTGTGAGTTAGATGTTGTTCTCACGCCTGGCCTTGACCTAAGAGATAATAAAAGTTAGATAAATGGAGCAGACACTTTACGACATAACATAACTTAGCACCAGCTTCATCCCTGCATATATATATATATATATATATATATATATATATATATATATATATATATATATATATATATATATATATATATATATATATAGGCCTATATATATATATATATATATAGGCCTATATATATGTATATATATATATATATATATATATATATATATATATATATATATATATATATATATATATATATATATATATATATATGCTAGCTTTAATGTTTTTAAATTAAAGATCTTTATCTATAATCGGTTGTTAATACAACTGGATGTAGCATTTTTTTTCTTTATAGTTATCATGTTTGTGTCATGGTGTCATACCCCCCCCCCCACACACACACCTCCCCCACCTTGTCGCATCGTCTATTTGTACTTAAAATACTTTAAAACTCTAATTAAACTGGCAAAAAGCATATTTCTTCTATATATTTTGTATTTTTTTCCATGGTGTCACCCGCTCTGCATATAGATATCTGTTATTATTTTTGTTAATGATTTAGATTCTATTTTTTTATTAAAGAAAAGGCTGTAAAAAGAAAAACCTCTTTCATAAAAAAAAATTATAACACGCATAACATTTTCTCACACAAAAATTAACGATGTATCAGATAATTAAATATTGTATTATTACAAAATTTTATGGATACATTAAAGTCGTAAAATAAACATGTTGCTATTATCACAAGATAGACAGTCGTACAGATACATGATACATTCAATGACACGAGAAACTTTACCAGATAGATTGTATCAGTTTCTACAAAAAGCCGGTTCTTTTACAATGGAGAGAATGGCATGCATCAGTTTCTACAAATAGCCGGTTATTTTACCATGGAGAGAATGGCATGCATCAGTTTCTACAAATAGCCGGTTATTTTACCATCAAGTTAATGTCATGCATCAGTTTCTACAAATAGCCGGTTATTTTACCATCAAGTGAATGCCATGCATCACTTTCTACAAATAGCCGGTTATTTTACCATAAAGAAAATATCATCCTTCAGTTTCTCAGCGACGTAACTGTTGCCTGGTTATTTACATATCAACTGTTCAACACCCAAATCTCAACCTCTTATCCTGACCCTAGCCTCAACGTTAACCTAGCAACAACTCTAATAATTGAACTATCACCATCCAGATAGTTTAAAAATATAATCTTTGATTCTTATCGCATAGCTTGTGATATTATGGAACAAGGAAAGGGGGGGGGGGTTAATTCTTGCGACGGATTGAGGGATTAAAATGATTAATTTGACGTAGACAAATACAAGTTAGATACTTTTTCTACACCATGTAGGGCAAGGCCCAGGCTGTGGGTGGAGGTCGGCTAAGTTTTATCAGTGCATGCATAAAGTATTTATTGACATGGCTTAAAATGTTGAAGCTATTAACAACACACGGTGATGTAATAAATCTTAAAAGGTCGGTGCGTGGTTTTTTGGCCAGATGTTCAACAGGTTGCTATATTAATCTGCTAATTATAACCCCAGGATTAAAACTTCAAACGATTTTTAAAAAATCATTACTTAAGGCTAATTGTTAATTAATATATTAAAAAGAAACTATTAAAAAGAAACTCTAAACATGTAGTGTTATAATAATTATGTGACTAGTGTACTAACAATACTAAGCCTAGTTTGGTTGGGTGGTATTTTAGAATAATGCTTAGCAAGCTTAGAGTTGCATCTTTTGTGCTTTTGATAACAGTTTGTGGTGTCTTCTTAGTGATTACAGACTGGAGTAACTCTTTATTTTCTAATCATAAAAGTTTAGTTTCGTTCTTACGGAACAATATCAACACCAAACAGTATAAAAACAGAATATTTACAAGTACGAACGAAAACAATGTTTCATTTGTCTTCAAAACTGAAGATTTGGTACGGGATTATAAAGTCGATCTAAACGATAAAGACGTGTTTGTGTTCCTGCATATTCAAAAAACAGGAGGCACTCACTTCAAACGTCAGCTGATGAGCTCATTGTCCAGTGTTCCTCCCTGTAGAGGTCGAAGCGGTGCCTCGTGTGAGTGCTGGGCAGAGGGCAACAGGACCTGGTTCTTTGGCTGGTTCACGCGCGGACAGAAGTGTGGTCTACACGCCGACTGGACGGAGCTGACCGCCTGCGCTGACCCGTGGTTTGTGGAGCATGAGCCGAACAGAAGTCAAAGAAAGTAAGTCGGGGAACTTTTAATTTATGTCAAATAACCAACTCAGCCAGGTTTTTTTTTATGGCATCTCTTTTGGGTTACGGACCCCCGAACGAAATATAATTTATATTTAAAATATATACTTCCACCCCCACCCCCCAACTCGGTAAATTTATTTACTCCTCTCCCCGGAAATTTCAAATTGTTTACCTCCCCCCCCCCCTCAAATCAGAGACAAATGTCTGAAATAAACACTGAATTCAATGAACCATATAAACTATTTATCCGTTTTATAAAAATAATTCACTAATTGTGTTTAAAAAAATAAGTAGCGAAACGTAAAATACATTTGGTTTGGTGAGTCTAGAAAGATGAACTATTTGAGTCATGAATCTTTTAAAAATGAATAATTCACAGAACATGAACAAGTAGCCATGGAAAGTTTCGAAACAAAAATATAACGAGGGTTTTTATGAACGAAGTAAAGTCCGGGATCCGAACCCATGACTTACGAGTCAGCAGCCAGGCTATCTACCAAATGGTTTTCCCCTACCCTTATACATACCGCTGTAAAACAGTTTCCTCCCCTTAAAGATTACATTAAATATAGTTCTCTCCCCTCTTAGATACCACTACAAAACAGTTTCCTCCCCTCACAGATAATATTATAATAACATAGTTCCCTCCCTTTCAGAGATACAAGCATTAAACATGGTTAAAACCCCTTACAGTTAACGCTATAACAACATAGTTCCCTCCTCTCACAGACTCCACTTTATAGTTTCCTCCACTCACAGATACCACTATAAAAACATATTTCCCTCCCCTCTGATACCGCTATAAAAACATAGTTTCCTCCCCTCACATATACCACTAAAACAGTTATATCTCTCCCCTCACAGATACCATTATAAAAACAGTTCCATCCCTTCACAGAAACAACTATTAAACATGGTTCCCTCCCCTTACATATACCACTATAAAAACACTGTTTCCTCCGCTTATTGATACTACTCTCAACTTATTTCCTCCCCTTACAAATACCACTATAAAAACATAGTTTCCTCCCTTTACAGAAACCACTTTAAAACATACATACCTCTCACAGATACAACTACTAAACACAGTTCCCTCCCCTTACATATACCACTATAAAAACATGGTTTCCTCCCCTTACTGATACTACTTTAAACCTAATTTCCTCCCCTTACAGATACCACTGTAAAAACATAGTTTCCTCCCTTTACAGAAACCACTTTAAAACATACATATCTTTCAAAGATACAACTATTAAACGTAGTTCCCTCCCCTTTTAGATACCACTATAAAAACATGGTTTCCTCCCCTTACTGATACTACTAAACCTAATTTCCTCCCCTTACAGCTACCACTACCTGACATTCTTAAGAAATCCCGTTTCAAGATTTCTCAGCGAATGGCTTCACGTCAGAAGGGGAGCCTACTGGCCCAAGAGATACAAGTGTAACCAAAGGTACGCGACTAGAGAGGAGCTTCACCTATGTGCTGATGGTGGTCCATGGCTGAATGTTTCCTTTGATGACTTCATTGGTTGCAAGTAAGCAGTTTTTTTGTTATTGTGTTGTTTTTTTGTTATTGTGTTGTTGTTTTGTTATTGTGTTGTTGTTTTGTTATTGTGTTGTTGTTTTATTATTGTGTTGTTGTTTTGTTATTGTGTACTGTTTTGCTATTGTTTTGTTAATCTTTAGTTGTTGCTGTTGTTTTGCTATTATGTTAATGTTAATTTTTTATTATTTTGTTATTGTTGTTTTGTTCTTGTTTTGCTGTTGTTTTGTTATTGTATTGTTGATATTTTTTAATGTTTTGTCCTTGCTTTGCTGTTGTTTTAGTAACTGTGTTTTAATTGCATTACTTCAAAAAGAAAGAAACTTTAAATTGCTAAATATGGATTATCCATAAATGACGTCACGCTCACAGTTGGGATGGAGGGTCGGACTTTTGTGATAG